TTTTTCAATAAAATAATATTTTCTATCACATCAATAACCTTTCCTTCATTTTTAACCACACATTCTCTATCAATCTACTATTCAATAATATATTCTTTCAAAAGAATGTGTCCCAAACACACTTTAAACGTCAGAAAAATATTGCTCCAATTATCCATTTGGAAATTATTCAACCAACCTCGTTTTTCGTTCAAAAAATAATTTGAAGTTAAACGGGCACTTGAGAGAAATCCGTCAAAAGGAGCCTGCGAGTTTTTTATTCTCCCTTTCTCTCATTTTGTCGACCCTCTCCACTTTCCAAATCTCAGCGCCGTAGAGAACGTTCAAAACGCCAGTCCCAGATCTCAATTCTCCCATTTACAATCACACTACAAATATAAACCCAGATTTTTTGTCTACTCAAATATGGGGGAGACATCAAGAAACGTGGATATGGAAGAGCTAATAACATACAGCAACAACCTAGTGCAAATCTTGAAAAGTGATAAAGACATTAGTGCCGTCAAGCAATTTCTGCAGAAGTCCCAAGCCCTTCAATCCCAAACTGACAAAGATTTCTGCCAAGTACAAAAATCCATTCAAGGTTCAAATTTCTAATTTTTTTTTTTTGAAAATTAAAATTACATTGGGCTCAATGCGCTCGTTTATTGTTTTTCTGTATATATATACACTTTAATGGGGTAATTTGGATTTTATCGTCTGTGTGGTCTAAATTTTAGATTAATTTATCTTTGTGATACCTCCACTGGAAATTTTATTAATATATGTGAAGAAATTATAGGATTTAGTCGCTTTAATTGATTTTTTCTGTCATTACTGGTTATTAATCGACGCCTATTTGAGGGTGGGAACTAGACGTTTTGATGGCACTAGTAGAATTAGTTTCTTACTTCTGCATGATGCATTTTGCTGCCTGCACTATTGCAAAGTTCTCATTTTAAAGTTGATCATTCCAATTAATTTGAAATATGAGAGTGAGAAACTGTCTATGTTTTTGGGGTCGAATGGTTGTTCTTACTCTGTGATTAGTGCCACGGGACCTGCTCTTCAAAGGTTGCGAGATAGATTTCATATATTTGGTTCACGTTTTGATTTGTTGGTTTTTATGATACTATATAGGATTTTTTTACTGCTCTCTTCACGCTCAAAAAGCCATGAGAGTAATGATTATTATCTGGTCAAAAGGCGTATGATTCGCAGTATATGTTATTATAGGTTGATCTTTTCTACTTCTATTATGTGTCTTAGAGTACGAGAAGAAAATTGACGCATGCAAGCAGAAAGCTGCTGCTGCCAAATTAAAAGCTGCTTCTGATGAAGAATTGGATTTGCTGCAGAAAGAGTTGGAAGAGGAAGAAAAGGAAGAACATATACTAAATGATGAGTTTAGATGAGTATCATTTCAATTTAAGCTGCATGTTTTCTGATTCTTGATTTAATGCCAATAGCACGATTAACAATTCTGTATTATGATTTACACAGTCATTGTCGGTGAAATTGATGATCTGGAGCGTCAAATGGATTCTATTGAAGAGGGAAGGAAAAACTTAAAGAAACTCGAGCAAGATGAGTTGAGAACCCAGTAAGTCTAATGTGAAAACTAGTTACTTTTGCATTTATGCCAAGTATTATAGCATCTACTCCAAGCTACGAAAATTTTGAAATGCGTACCAACTATTTCTGGTCATAGTTTCATGCTGGAATCTGTGACGTAAAAGGTATTCCAATAGACACTGCTGTTCTCTTTTCGTCTTTGGCTGCAATTTTCTTGCATGGTGCTGGCAGTTATTAGCCTCCGGTTTTGTTTATTTTTACATATCTACAAACTAACTACATTAGATAGTGTCTTGTCCACTAGTCCAAATTGGACCTCAAGTGAATGTCCCCCACTGCTTTTCCTTCGGTTTTACCTCAAACGGTGAATTTGATACTTAGTTTCACAGGCACTATTTCTGTTTTAACATATACTGATATACACAATGTTTTTTTGTTACATTTGAAAGATATAGCTACATCCTCTAAGAAAATTCTATCTTGTAAAAGTCTCTCTAGATATTTTTGACTATATCTGCATGCAAAATATAGAAGGATTGGATGTCAAAACACACGCTCCATTTACAATGTAATAATGATGGTTTTGTTATATGTGCTGCAATGCACCCATATCTTGTGATCTCGGATATTTAATGGTCAACATAGTTTTCAAGCCAGACTATCATGACCATATTTGGATAAGAGCAGGTATTTTCATTTTCGGTAGACATAAAAGTAACTAGTAATGTTTGCTGCGATTTAAATCATTTTTAATGAATGGTGAGCGTTCCAAATTGTTCTCATGTTTGGCTAAGCTTAAAAAAATGTAAATTTACTTGTGACTTTTTGTCTAACTATTGCTTGGGTAACTTACTTTTATCTTATTTTAAAGTATAATAAGGTTAATTCTCTGGAAATAAAAACCTACTTTACTGGCAAAATAAGCAACTTATTTTTAACTTTGACCAATTAAAGAAAATTATTTATCTTAAAACACGCTTGAGCTTAGCCAAAGTGTCTTTTTGAAACATAGCAACTTATGCATCATCAATTGATTTTGTAGGATGAAGCTATCAATGTTTGCTTCCATAACAAATATCATCCCCAACTTGGACGATCCATCCAAAATATCAGGACGTATCCTTGTTTGCTTGTGTTGCTAAGTTTTCTTATTACCTTTTCCCTTTCCCAGTGCCTCTCAAATTGGATTCTACATTGCTCTTTAAGCATCTTTCCAATCTTTATTTCCCCTTAACTTGATGATCCTAGATATTGTGGACAGAGATACAAAAGCAGTTGAGAAATTTGAGTTTGATCCGACTAAGCTGACTGCATTTGACACTTGTAACGGTATCTGGAAGATGATAAACTCATGAAAGGCATTTCAAATGAAAGTCTTATGTAATTTGTTTGGAACTGTGTTATTCTGATCATTGTAATGGAATCTAATGCACAGTTTTGTCTTGGAGTTGTACATTTTTTTGGTCCTTCAAATAGTGACTGGTTGAATTTAGATTTTTGATTATGAATATTTCAAGTTTTAGGTCTTGTTCAGCTTGAACCAGAAGTCATTTTGAAATATGTTTTATTCAATTTTTGGAAGAAAAGGAGGATCCGAACAAAATCGATGAAACAAAAGAAATCTGAGTGAATGGAAAGGAAAAAACAGAGATGAATTCTACTTTCGGTTTATAGGAACATGGTCTACAAATAGCCCAGTTTATGAAGATTTTTTTTGTATGAATATCAATGAAAATCACGATAGATCTCTTTTGGCTAAAACTAAAATATTTCTTTGCCTAATAGCCCAGTTTATGAAGATTTTTATCGGATGAATATCAATGAAAATCACGATAGATCTCTTTTGGCTAAAACTAAAATATTTCTTTGCCATGACTTTTCAATAATAGTTTACACAGATGGATTGGGTTGAACTTTGAAACCAAAAAACAACGTTTAGCCAGATTTTTTGAGAATAGATTGAGTTAGAACGCATAATAATTGAATTGTTATGTACTACCACAAAACTTATCTGGTGTGAACTCTCTATGATCAGCTCAATTCCATTGACACCAACTATTCACATGGATAACTAGAGAAAATAATTATAATTTTTGACAAATTCAAGGGAATTGAACAAATAACTTCTGAGAAACTCAAGTTTGGCTTTGATTATTGACTAGAAACACTTTTCAACTCTGAACACAACCGCTTAATATCTTACAGCCCTAATGTTGGCACTTTGTACCATTTATGGGCATTCTGTTTAAGCTTATTTGTACAAAGTGGCAGAAGCTTTTCTTTCTGGTTTTCTTCTGTCAAGTTTTTACTTCCCAGAACTTGCAGTGCAAACTTGAGGGCTTGAAGTTGCAATCTCGAATGAATTGATTTCAGGAAAACCTGATTTGCAAGCCCGAGGTATCTTTTGCCCTCTGTATGCCCTGCAAATGTAGGCTATGAAATTCAGATAATCCTGCATCCATACAAGCAAATGGTTATGGTCTACTGCATCTGCTAATTTGTGGCGTGTGCGAAAGAGAAGTGATAGAAGAAGGGACGAACTTCTTGAAGAGGTTGGTTATTCACAAGCACCCATGGTACGAATCTGTGTGGAGGATTAAGACGAGCAGTTTCACCGGCATATTCTCTCTCAATCTGCACCATTAATGTCACATTTTATGTAAGTAGTCCAATACTAGAATATCTTATGTGTAGGGGTTGGATTCTAATGTTGCTTATCACACGTGCCTGAAAAGTCATGAAATCTAAAATTCTATAAACAGCAATTACTGTTATATGCTATTGTAGAGAACTGAACAACTTGTGAGGTTTCAAAAAACTTGCAAGAAAGCCAAATTGGGATTATAATATTTTCATACAAAGTAAATGCAAAACCAACTATGAGGTGTACATACGGCTTTACACCCCCCCTCACATGGAGGGGGGTCCATGAATATTTTATTGTGTGTGGGGCCCCCTCCAGGTGAGGGGGGTGTAAAGTCGTGTGTACACCATTGTGTACACGTAGCATCTCCCAAACCTAAAGTCAGTTCATGAATAAAACAATCCAAAGGTGAGAAAACTAACCTGATATCCAAACCCATTAGTGTAACAATTTCTAAGGGGTGTTGGGTTGAGTCCAGCTGCACCAAAACAAGATTGCCATTCTGCGTGTTTGTTCATCAAATGCAAACGCTCTATGCAATATATAAATTTGAAATGTGTTTCCTGCATCAACCCTAGAAATATTTAATGCCAAACAACTACCTAAAAGAACAGACACAGTGTGTGTTTCTTTGTATATGTGTGTGTTGGGGTTGGGGTTTACCACACTAGGCCAGAGCTTGATGGCACAGGCTTCTGCAACATCCAACCGACACTCGTCTACGCCATGCTGCACAAGTTTATATAAACAATTTAAATACCGTCAACATTTTTGGTACACAATACTATGAAAAATCCTCAACGGTGAAGTATTAAGAGATAGAAAGGAGAGAATAACATGGACCTGGCAAATCCAAGTGTTGTTAGGTGAAATTTCAGTGTTTCCCCAGGGGACAAGCCTGAGATTGACAATGGAGAAGAGATCTGTCTTGAAAACCTTCACCAGTTGATTCACAATGAAGTTTGCACAATATGGGCAGAGCGATTCATAGTAAAGAGACAAATTCACCTTGTCTTCCTCATTATCATTGGTAGATGACAGTGAAACCTTAGCTTCACATACAAACCAAATGATTAGAAAACATGTAAGAATGAATCCACAAACGATTTTTTGAGAACCCATTACAGTAGAATGCTAATGAACTCCTTTAATTTCATTCTTTCCATCTATATGACCTCTTAGCTTTAAAAATGGATATGCCATTATAAAGTAATTAACACTTTTTGTTTTATTTCACCTTTATCCATGTCATGTCTATAATTCAACTTTTATGACTTTTTCTTTATCAGTCAGCTTTTACTTTTCAATTTTACATAGCACTATTATTTTTCACTTAAAAGTTCGATATGCATTAGGATAAAAAATAATTTTGAAGATCATATTTGATAGAACAACTTCACACCGCGAAACATGCTGATGCTTAATTTGTTCTAATATTTTGTTGCTGGCTTTATTTATACCATGACTTTGTATAAATTTATGGTGGTCAGTTGTGGTTGGTGGGTAGGTAAGCTTATTTAGTAGCTTGAGATAGTAGAGATTATGGCAGTAAGGCTTCTTTCTAGCCCAAACCAAACCAAGTCAAGTCAAGCCAAGCCCAATCTTTCAATGGACTGAAAACTTCAGCTAAAGGGCTTGAGAAATAAAAGTAAATGGCACTAAAAACTGGACACAAATGATTGCTATTTTGCCACTTTTTAGGTGCCTAATTAGTCAAAAAGATTCCAGGCTTTTTTGTCAACTGGAACAAATTCTTTTCTCTCTCAAGTTGACTCGAAAAGTCACGAGAGTGGGGGCGAATACCATTAGGGAATTAATTTTGATTGAAGAACATTCGCGAAATTAATTCTTTAACATAAGACCCCATGAAACTCTTCTTGATGAGGACCTCTATCTCTTACTATAGCTTCTTGAACTCGTCCGTTGTGTGTTCATGGTCTTTTTGAAATTCACAGTACTTGCTCCGTCTCTAGTTTCGGGTGCAGACCTGATTCTAGGACATGTCAGTTCCTTGAAATTCTTGATTTCAATTAGAATATAAGACATGGAAGTGTAAAGGAGAGTTAAGTCGTCGTTGAGGCATTACCATTGTCTTGTGGTCGGGGCCACGCTAGATGGGGATTTCGACCTTCTCTGCTGGTCCTACGGTTCAATTTTTTGAGTAAACACCTCCGACTTGTTCGTCTCTTGTTTGTTCGATATCAAATTTGTCTTCTAAGGCAAAAAGTTAACATCCATATTGATATTTTTTTCCTGGCATCCCTTCTCAAGAGCTCGAGTTCATTATGGGAAGGATTTTTGGAGAGAGATAACAGAAGCTGCTAATTAATGAATTGCTATAGTGCACGCAAGGAATAAAGATACAACAAGAATCAGTAATCAGTTAGATTAGTTGTCTACGTGTATAATTTGTAATTGTTTGTATAGCTGTAACTAGTTAGAGTGAGTTAGTTGAATTCTTTCCTATTTATACACATTGAACTTGCAATGTGAAATGTATCATTTTCTTCTTTCTAAATATCAGAACTTCATCAATTTTTTAACTCTAATATGGTATTAGAGCAGACATGCTTCGTTTGTCTGCTTCTTTGAAAATCATTATTCTTTTTCAATTGATTCTTCTTTCTTCTTTCATCAATTTTTTCTTCTGACTAAATATGGCAACAAATAATGCTCCAAATCAGAATAATTTCCCATCCTTAGTGAATAATTGATGATGGATCTAGTCCTTACTATATCCATCATTTAGATAACACAGGGCTTGTGCTTGTGTGTCACAACTCCTTACTGGTGAAAATTATTCTTCATGGAATCGAGCAATGGTGATAGCTCTATCCGTGAAAAATAAACAAATTTTGTCGGAGCAATAATATAGTCATATCATGGATACTAGACTCTGTGTCCAAAGAGATATCTGCAAGTATTATCTACTCCGAATCAGCTCATGACATATGGATTGATTTAAAGGAAAGGTTTCAGTAGAGAATGGACCTCGCATATTCTAACTGAAGTGATAACCGATGAATCTCTCTCAAGGCTAGTTATCTGTTGGTGTTTATTTCACAAAACTGAAAACGATCTGGGAGGAACTCAGCAATTATAAACCAGTAATCACTTGTGGAAAGTGTGTCTGTGGAGGAAATAAGAAGATTTCAGAACATTACCAGATGGAGTATGTTATGCCCTTTTTAATGGGGCTAAATGATACTTTTGCTCAAGTAAGGGGACAATTATTTCTTATGGATCCAATACCTCCTATTAACAAAGTATTTTCACTTGTTTCGAAAGAAGAAAATGATACATTTCACATTGCAAGTTCAGTGTGTATAAATAGGAAATAATTCAACTAATTAACTCACTCTAACTAACTACCAGCTATACAAACCATTACAAATTATACACGTTGACAACTAATCTAACTGACTACTGATTCCCGTTCTATCCTCATTCCTTGCGTGCACTACATCAATCCATCAATCAGGACCTTCCAGCTTCTAACTTACAGCAGCTTCTGTTACTCCCCCTCAAGATGGAAGGTGAGGATTGATCACAATCATCTTGGACAGTAAAGAAAATAACTAAGAACCAGGTAAAAGCCTTGGTAAAAATGTCAACCAATTGATGATGTGAACGAATTGGTAACAACTTGACAAAACTATCAGCCACCTTATCTCAAACAAAATGACAATCAATCTCTATGTGCTTAGTATGTTTGTGGAAAATAGGATTAGAAGCAATGTGGATTGCTACTTGGTTGTCACAGAATATTAATGCAGGATCTTTGGTGTAAATCTGAAAATCATGAAGTAGTTGATTAAGCCAAACAATTTCACTAGTAGTAGAAGACAATGCATGATATTCAGCCTCAGCTGAAGATTTGGATATTGTAGTTTGTTTCTTGGCTTTTTAGGTGCCTAATTAGTCAAAAAGATTCCAAACTTTTTGTCAACCGGAACAAATTCTTTTCTCTCTCAGGTTGACTCGGAAAGTCGCGAGAGTGGGGGCGAATACCATTAGGGAATTAATTTCGTTATTGATTGAAGAATATTCGCGAAATTAATTCTTTAACATAAGACCCCATGAAATTCTTCTTGATGAGGACCTCTATCTCTTACTATAGCTTCTTGAACTCGTCCGTTGTGTGTTCATGGTCTTTTTGAAATTCACAGTACTTGCTCTGTTTTTAGTTTCAGGTGCAGACTTGATTCTAGGTGGACATGTCAGTTCCTTGAAATTCTTGATTTCAATTAGAATATAAGACATGGAAGTGTAAAGGGTGAGTTAAGTTGTCGTTGAGGCATTACCATTGCCTTGTGGTCGGGGCCACGCTAGATGGGGATTTCGACCTTCTCTGCTGGTGTATTGGAATGATTAGTGATAGGAAGTGAATTCATTTGCAATTCATCTGTGGCATCTGCTGAATCAGTGTGTTCAATAAGAGTTATGAATTGTGACGCAGAGGTATGTATATGTTGATGAGAATGAGATGATTTAGAATAAGGATTAGGTTGTAAAAGATCACATAAAGGATCAATTATATGAGAACAATGAGGTATAGACTGAAAAGGGAATATATTTTCATGAAATGCCACATCTTTGGAAATGAAGAAATTTTTGGATATAATATCATACAACTTATATCCCTTAACTCCTGGGGGATATCCTACAAGTACACAAGCTTTAGTTCTAGGTGTAAATTTTGTTCGATTGGATAGTAAGGTGAATGCAAAACGTAAGCTTCCAAAGACTTTAAGTTGGCTGTAATCTACATGAGTGTTATATAGGAGGGAGAATTTAGTTTTGTTTTGCAAAATGGATGATGGAGTCCTGTTAATGAGAAAGGTAGCAGTTAATAGCAACATTGAGCAAGTGTTGGTATTTTCTCTCCACCACTGAATTTTGCCCTGGCCATTCTACACAAGTGAATTGATGAATGACCCCTTTAGAATGAAAGAAGCTTCTATTAGGTGTTCTACGAGAAAATAAGAGAAAGTTCAAAAATTGAAAGGCGATGAGGATGTTTGAATTATAATTTGGTAGGTATTATTTTATCTGAGATATACTAAAATCACAATGATGCATGTACTTGTAATTTTTTACATATTAAAATTGTACGATAAAGCGAATTCAAGTTTTAAAATAGTAATGTCTTCATTTTGGATTTCTGTGTGATTAAGGTGTTGCTCGTACGTAGAAAGTGAAATCGATTCTATTGCAAAAAAATAATTGAACCACGCCTCGAATACAAAAGTGAGCAAAATTGTATTAAGGATATATCTATGGTGAAATTGATGATTTCAGATAAATGCAACTTCTATTTATTTTGCCCATGTTCGGTCCCATTTTCTAACACTCATTTTTTCTCGAACTCATTTTCAATCATACATTTTATCAATTCTTATCAAAATTTACTAAAAAATTATGGGCAAACTTTGTTGTCATGATTAAATATTTCAAACATACTTGGTATGTAGGGACAACACAGATTTAGTTTGACCCGGTTCAAGCCCTACCATCAGACTCTTCCAATTAGTTGTATGGAAATAATCAACACTTAATCAACTTATTTAAATTCAATTCACAATATTTAATTATTAGAAATTTAATCTCTAACAACGATGACTCAAATTCAATTGATATAAAACGGATAGGTGAAATGTAACATTACGTGGGTACCAGGGGCGGACCCACGAAGGGCAAAAAAAAAAACCAAAATTTTTTTTTTTTTTT